TGCTCCAATGTTACTGATGGACTGGTTTGATGTGCAGTTCTTCAGCCTCACAAACTGTGGTCTGTTTGTCAGGTAGTCTTTAATCCAGGCGATAGTTGAGGCCCCCACCTGTGTCTTCTGGAGTTTCTGGCAAAGTACATCAGGCTGGATTGTGTTATATGCACTGGAGAAATCAAAGAACATGACCCTCACAGTGCTGCCTGCTTTGTCCAGGTGACAGTGGGTGGGTTGAAGCAGCTGGATGATGGCATCTTCAACTCCATGGTGATAAGCAAACTGCAGCGGGTCCTGATATGTCCTAGTTTGCTTATTCAAGTGGACCAACAGGAGTCTCTCCAGGACCTTCATGATGTGGGATGTCAGGGCAACCGGTCTGTAGTCGTCATTGACTGATGGGCGAGTTTTCTTTGGAACTGGAACAAGGCAGGATGTCCCAGAGGACTAGAATCTTCTCCTGGGCCAGGCTGAGGTTGAAGAGGTGCTGCAGAATCCCACAGAGCTGCTCTGCACAGGCCTTCAGTACTCTGGGGCTGGCACCATCTGGACCTGCAGCCTTGTTCCTGTTCAGTCTCTCCAGCTGCCTCTTCACCTGACTTCTAGAGACAGATAGGTGGGAGGGGGAGGTAAATGGGGCAGCGGCATCTCCTGACTTGGTTGAAGACAGATTTATAGAACCAGAAGAGTCCATGACTGTGTTAGAGGACAAAAGAGCTGGCGTGTGACAGGAAATGTTGGATCAGAGGAGGATGGGATGTCTGACTGGCTGGGGACAGGCGAGGAGGATGCTGGGTTTGTTCCTGAACTGAACCTATTGAAGACAACCTGAACCTAAATGTAGACATTAACAGTTGACTATTATGATTTCATGTAATTTTCTAAACAAAATAAAACATCTGGAACATATGTATATCATCCATCTTAAAATCAGAGAATTAACATGCAAAATTAAAAAAGGTCATAAGCTAAATAATAATATGTATTATTATTATTTTTTCCAGAATTGATCTATTACCTGCTTCTTCTCTGCAAAACTACCAGACTCAAAGAAAGAATATAATATGGCCGCTGTTTAACCCCCTCTGTACCACTACCTGTTTGAGTTATGGCGTTTCTAGCTCACGGCCAACTAAAAAACTATGAACAATTTTTTTCTTTAAATGCATTTTATTAAGGACAGACGATCAACAGCCGTAACACTAGTTTAACATTTTATTTATTTATATCATTTTGTCACTTCACCATCTGTTTCTTGCATCGACTCTTCCTGCCAGTCTCAGCTTTTTCATGAAACCGTCAGCACACTTGATGTTTGTTTTATGCAAGTTTTTGTAAATCAGATAGGAAATATGATCTTAAATCTCTCATTTACTCTGTTAGATGTTACATGAGTTCCACAGTTCATGCTCAGAGTGTCAGATGCAGCTTAAAATCTCAGCTGTTGTCAGCTCAGAGAACGCTGATCAGGTTTTAGTGTTATGATTGCAAACAGTCACAAAAACTTGGAAATCTGCATTAATTTAGGGATAACAGAGATGTTAAAATACAAAACAATAAGGGTATGCAAAGTCAACTGTGACATAATCACAAAGTAAAATGCTATTTAAACTCTGATTTCTTATTCCGGTAATCCTTAGTCATTTGGACATTTTTCTTGCAGATAATTTAGTTTTTACCGTAGCATGAAAAGGAAACTTTTGGGTTTTGTTATGGTTTCTTTTGTCTTTTGGATGTGAGCTGCACAATGTTCTTTTATAACTAATAAAGGTGTCTGCATCTGTCAGTCTTTTAGTCGCATTTAGAACTGAAGGGCATAATCTACAAAGTCAAAGCAATCTTCTAACTAAAGTCCATATTTTGCATTTTCATTTTACTTCTCAAACCTAATCAATACACACTTAATTGTATTGCAAAAAAATATATCGTTGTCGTCTTCGATTATCCGGGTCCGGGTCGTGGGGGCAGCATCCCAACTAGGGAGCTCCAGACCGTCCTCTCCCCGGCCACCTCCACCCGCTCCTCCATCAGGACCCCAAGGCGTTCCCGGACCAGATTGGAGATGTAACCTCTCCAACGTGTCCTGGGTCGACCCGGGGGCCTCCTGCCGGCAGGACATGCCCGAAACACCTCCCCAGGGAGGTGTCCAGGAGGCATCCTGACCAGATGCCCAAACCACCTCAACTGACTCCTCTCGAATGTCCGAGCTCCTCACCCTATCTCTAAGGCTGAGCCCGGCCACCCTACGGAGGAAACTCATTTTGGCCGCTTGTATCCGCAATCTCGTTCTTTCGGTCATTGCCCAAAGCTCATGACCATAGGTGAGGATTGGGACGTAGATCGACCGGTAAATCGAGAGCCTGGCTTTCTGGCTCAGCTCATTTTACAGTAAGAAAATGGTACAGAAGTCAGTATTTTACCATAGAAAATGATTTTACTTAAAAAAATGTTTTTTAAACTCAGGAAAAACTCAGAGTGATCGATTATATTCGTGAAAAATAAAATGTTCTGTGCCTTTTTAACACATGCTGTTACAGTAAAGGAGTGTTAAGATTATTTCTATTTTTAGATGTGTCTCATATTCTTTAAAAGACAAAAAATTGTTTTTTTTCATACTTTAAATTATAGGAGCATGCATTTGCACTTCAAGACAATGTGCTCATTACATGAATTTTCAGCAACCAGGCACTATTGTTCGTGGGTTCTAAAACGAGATTCTGTCACCACCATGTTAGTTTGTAAATTGCCACAACTTTATGTACCTCTGTTCTCCTCTGGGAGCTCAGGATGAGATGCAGGAGGCTCTAAACAAGTTTTAGGATTTTTGAGACTTTGTTCAAACTTCTCATTACTAACTTATGTAGCTTATTATATTTTCTGACCAATGCTTTCCTGATTTTTTACAGAGGCTGACATACTTTTTAAAATGATATACTATACTTGCATTTTGGCAGGAAAAAAAACGATTTTCTGTCACTGTAATAAAACAAATGTGCATTTAATTTTGAATTTAGATGAGGGGTTTCAACACTTTCATCACAGGTGAACTCAATTGGACCAATGCCCTCTGTTTGGATAATAAAAAAAAAGTACTCCAGGGATGCTACTTTGAATGATAAAGCCAAGTGAAATGGTAATTTAGGATTAGTGTCAGACAATAACAGATGCGATGCAGTGAGTTTTATTTCTATCTCTGTGGTTCACCTTGACATCAGGCTACAGTTTGGCAACGTTTTCATCATCCAGCCCTGGATGTTAAATCAACCCTGATGTCTGTCTCTGCAGAGATGTGTTAAAAAGCCCCAAGTGGTAACCGAGTTGAGTTCAACAGCCTGGCATCGTTTCCATTTTTTCTGTATCAGCAGAGTTTTTTTTCACTCGCTGTGCATGCCTGGCTGTTTAATCAGTGTTTTGCTACGTGGGGGCATTATGATAATGATAAATACTCATTTGCACTTGCTAATGAGAAGCTCTATTGATGTTGCTTTTTGGGATTTTTATTGACAAATTCAAAGCAAAATGCAGCAGGTGAACCTGCAGTGACACGGTTCCTCAAAGCATTTAAAAGGTGTTTGCTTCATTTTTCACAAGCAGACTGAGAATGTCTCCCCTTGGTCTCAAGCAGTTCAAGTTTAGGATCCATGTACAATTTTTATTGACTATTGTTAAGGCAGAACGAGCCTCATGATACCACCAAGGTTCTCCATCAGGACCTGTGAGACGCTTTCAAAGTCAGAGCTCAAAACTTTAAGATTTATTCTTGTCACTACAAAAGGCTTAATAATAATAATAATAATAATAAATTAAGACTAATCTTTTCACAAGTTCTGTTTATTTTTTTATCTTAAAGACCAAGTTTACTGAGAAAATGTTTTTAACTTGTCATTTTAAAAATATGATTAGTTACTCTGAGTTCAACATGCAGGGATGAACATGAAAATAGTCGTCTACCCCTTTTTTCTGCATTAGATACCAATAGAAAAAAAACTAGGAAACACTCAGATTAGTAAAGCCAGTCAGATTTACGTCAGAGTGAAATTTAACACTGGAGTCATCCATCTAGGCTCCTGACAGGAAAGACTGTTGGTTTAGCCTCCAGCTAACAGCAAAGCACGTCTTGACAAGTAGAAGCTAACAATTAGCATTAGCAACTTCCCCACTTGGTAGACCTCCTCCAGGCTTGTGCTATTTGCGGAGATAAAACATCACCGTTGCAATGCAAAAGGAGTCAGTGGTAGAGTCGTGTTGCTGTTTTCCAGTCAGAGGCGAGATGTGTGAATATCAGGAAATACGACTCCAAATCCTGCATCTGAAGCACACTTCTCCTCTGACTCACTTCTGGCTCCTGAAACAGAAGCTCCAGAGCTTTCCTCTCCACAGATCGACCCACAAGGCATTCACTTATTTTAGAAGCCATTGCAAAAGTTTAAACAAAAATAGAGTGAACTTTGTCTTTAAACTATAGTTTCCTAGTTTTTGTAAGGGTCAGTGAAGTGTTTTGCCCAGGCGTGGCTTTTTGGAATTGCATTCATTACATTTTTTATGACAATGGAGGCTGACCATGTGACATGGACTCAGTGAAGAATAAAAAATGCATCCAAACTTCATGAACGATTAAAACTGCACGTTTCTTAAATTAATGAACATCTGGTTTAATGTTCAAAATGAATACAATTTAACTGACTTGGACTTAGTGATTTTGTTCTGAAAAGGTGATCCTCAAATAGCTATCAGCACAAATCTTTGCACATGACAAATAAATAGGATTAAGGATTATGCATTTTCCACGTCTTAGATAACAATATCAGTTTCTGAAACATTTTTTTTATGTTTTGTACTTCAATAGGTTTTTCACTTTTTTTAAGAGGACATCGCAGATCAAAATAAATCTCTGTTTGTGTGGTTTTCATTTTTGTGATGTTATTATTATTATTTTTTGTACTCAGTTATATTTAAATATGCATAAACCAACGTGTTTTTAAGAGGATTTTGTCTTGGTTTTACAGTTCGGAGTGAGCGGCCTAACCAGCTTCCTGGAGTTCACTGACAATGGCACTAACCCCAATATCTTCTTTGAAATCCTGGGAACAAATTATGGAGAAGACAGGGGACGTGGCGTCAGCAGGGTGAGTAGTTAAGACAGAGCCGCCGTGTGTCGTAACGCTGTGAGTAATTTATCCTCAAATGAGCTAAGTGGTTTTGACTCATTTCCAGATTAACAGAATCAAAGGACTCTCCTCTTCTGTTCTTTCAGCTTTTCATGTTTACTTTAATGTTTTCCTTTTTTAACACCACCACTTTATGCAGATAAAATAAAAATCTCACATTATTTCAGTGATTTTGTTTTAGGTTTATCAAGCTTACTTTATTGGCATTTATTACTTTTTTATTTATTTATTTTTTTTTTACCAGGCAACATCAACTGGGTGCAAATTTCAAAACACAGCATAAAAAAGAATTGCACGGTTTGTGGATAATATGTAGAATCACCAACACAGCACAGCATGTCATTACAGACAAAATTATTCTTTAGCATAGGATAATTACAATGAGAACAATTCCCTAATCAGAGAGCATAATTACTTGTGAGGGAAATTAGGGACTTCTTATAGAGTTTCTGCTGCCTCCCTGGCTGCTCTTTGGTCTGTCGTTGGACTTCAGTTAAGTTCAAGTGGGGCTGATATTCCCCGTACTGTGCTCGTGAAACTTCCACTCAGTGGAATTTGCTTTAATGGTGTTAGTCGAGTGTCTGTCCTTTGATTAGGGCCATGTCAGCAGACACATGCATACAGTCTGAGACAAGAGGAGTACATCAAAGTACCAGCCTTTGATGACATCAACAATAAGACCAGACAGAAGACACTCGTCTGCCTGAAGCTAAAAATAAAATAAAGAACAATGAAAACCAAATGCTGCTGTTCAGCCATTCTAGTTTGTACGTTTCATTAAATATCATCCAAAAGTCTCAGATGCCCTATAGTGGTGGAATCCCATTTTTGTTCTTCAAGTCTGCTTCAGGGATCATATTTTAGTGATGGACTTTCCATGTTTTTTTCAATACATCACAAATGATCAGAAATGTGGCTACATCTTAACGTTATCTTACCGGGACTTTCCACCGGACGTGCGAAACGTAGTATGCAGCGGTTACCCGCTGTCATTGTGGATGGGTGTATTTTCACTGGCTGCAAAGCAGCAGAGTTTTGGAAGCGGCTCTAAAGTGTAACGACATGTTGCTTGTTGTCTGAGTTTATTTTTTAAGTGCTGCACTTCCAGAATGTGTCAAACTCTGCAGTTCAGATCATGCTAGACAGGAAGTCAAACACAAAGTGGAGTAAAAAAAATCGGGAAACTTTCTAAATAAAAGTCACGTGCAGATTTCCAGTTGCTTAACTAGTAAACAAAGCATGCCATTACCCGTGATACCTCAGTAGCCGAGGTAAACAGAACAGAAAATAAACCACAGACTTTCAGGGATACATGCTGCCATCTTTCTCCTTGCTTGTTATCACGTGAACTCCTGAAATCACACGTGATTTTGTTAAAAAGCTGCATTTTTGCATCCAAAATGCTCCCATTTGGAACAGAGCTGGCAGGTAAAACATTTCTATTACATTACGCTCCTCATATCCATCCAGTGGAAAGACTGGGTACCCTATTAACTCTTTCATAGACTTTCTCTCAAGGACAGTTTTGACCACCACCAGCACATCCTCTAAGACTCTATTTTTTAAATGATTGTATTAATAATACAAATTTTTAGAGCAATTGTGATTTCCTGTTGACACAAACCCTGTAAGCAGCTTGCAACAGCTACAAAATATTAGCACTTTTTTAACGCTGTGGGCAGTGGCAGCACCAAGGGGCGCTAGGGGGCGCCATAGCTACCCCTGGATTAGTCATTGCATCCCCACAGTGCTAGCCTGGCCTGCCAGACTCCTCCTCTGTTTAATTCTGCACAGAGAAAGAGTCTGGGAACTCTCCTATTCAAATAACCCCACCCCGTGAGAATTCTAACCGAGCCAATCAGCGCTGAGTAGCGTACGTCACACACCACAATGCCGAGTTTGTCGAACATGGCGACTGAAGCCGTGTTCACTGCGGCTCTTTCCTCTGTTCTAAATGACTTGGACACAACAAGTAGAAGCGTTAAAAGTCTTTCTTCTAAAGAAAGATGTTTGCGCTGTCGCCAGACTCCATTTTTACTACAGCTAAAAAAAACTACAGCGTCGCGGACGTCACACACATCGACGCTCAGTTTCTCATAAACAACAAAGACAGCGGCAGAGTTTCCTGCGGCTGTTTCCTCTGTTCTAAATGACTCAAATGTCTTTAAAACTACAAGTAGAAGCGCTAAAAGCATTTCTTCTAAAAAAAAAAAAAAGATATTTTCGCCATTGCCAGGTGCCTTTTTTTTTACTGCACCTAGAAAACTACAGCATCGTGCGGCACAGTCGGGATTTCCGTCTTTTTTCTGACTGGTTATTCTTGAGCTGTCGAGTCCCGCCTCTCATGGTGCTCTTTGCCGAGAGTTACCAGACTCATTGTCTGTGCTTTTTCTCTTCAAGGCACTCGAGGAGTACAGACGCTTCTCTCTTTCGCTCCCTTATCTTTTTTTCCCAAGGCTCTTTGTCCTGTCTGCCCACAGAGCGCGTCTCTGCATTTCTTCTGAAAAACTCTATTTTTACTAACCATGGATTTGTGAAACTGGTCATTCAATGCGATCGATAAGATTTTTTTCAGCAATGAGAACGGAGCAGGGGGCTCCCACATGTCCACAGGGGTCGCACCCGGTGGGATATTCTCTGGAAGGAGTGGAGGATCATATGCCTCAGCCAGCTGTCCATTGAGGATATCGAAGACGTGTGGATATTCGGCCTGATGATCACTGGATTTCTCCTGATTGGATTGGGAAGATATCTGGTTTTCTGGAAATTTGGGAAGACGGGAGCAATTGGATGGCGACCCACACCCATGGAAAGCACCGTCCGTGTGGAGACTTCTCAGACTGGGATGTTATTCGAGGTGAATGGTAAGCTGGACAATGTTCTAGCTGCGATACCGGTATTAGTGCGCCAAATGGATGTCATCTCGGAGAGAGTCACCGGACGGTATCGACAAGTTTAAAAACCCAAAATTGGCTTCACTGAAGGACTGGAAATGATCAGTTGAAAGTTTGAAGGCAGGAAAATTTTCTCAGCCTGACCCAAACAAATTATTGTTATCTGAATCTGACGCCCTGGTAGCCTTGAGCGGTCTGACGCCCTGGTAGCCTTGAGCGGCGAGCAAATAAAAGCCCCACAAAGGAATGCAGATGGATGCTGTGAAAACCCGACCTACCCCCAATCCTCATGTAACCCCTCTTATCTCTATTAAGGTAGCGCGACTCGGGTTTCGAATGACCACAGTCACCAATTCTTGTCATGTGTCTTGACCATGTATGTCTGATCTCTGAATTGTGTGTACTGAAACTCTAATTTCCCTCTGGGATTAATAAAGTATTGATTGATTGATTGATTAATTGATTGATTGAATTAAACAGAGAACGAGTCTTGCAGGCCAGGCTACCATAGCACCCCCAAGTAAATATTTGATTTTTTTTTTACAATTTAATTTTAATTTAACATGTGGATGTGATAATATTTAACATACAAAACAAAAATAATCAGTAAATGATCATATAGATAGTAAAAACTTAAACCAAAACAGGAAATTGATATTAACCTTTGACCTCATTTTCCACCTGCAAACGAGTGAAAGGTAGAGCTAGTGGTGAAATGGATCGGTTTTTGTTTCCCACATTTCTACGGGTTCCGTCATAAACGAATGAATCTTCGGAAGTGATCTCAGACCCACAAAAACCTACGGATCTGGATGAAGAGGGTCAACCCTCAACCGCCGCAGCAGTCGAGTGTTTTGCTGCTGGAAATGCTAACACTAACTTTAGCTAACCTTGCAACACTATAGATGGTTTTCTGTGTGGCTGTACGTGTTTATGATTTCATGGAAAAGTCAGCGATTGTTCATATGTTTATGATGTATATTAATGATTGTTTCAGATGTTGTTGAGGTTTTGTGAGTGTTGAAGGTGTTTTAGAGAATAGGTATGCATGACCACTTCCTTCATAGCACCCTCAATAAAAAGACTAGCTCCTTCATAGCACCTGCAGAAAAAAAAATTCTGGAGCCGCCACTGACTGTGGACTACTGCAATTTAAGGGAAAACAGAAAAAAGCTATGTATTTGTTCCCACATCTGTGACAGGTGGTTCATACATTGAGCATACATTTTTAGCAGGCCTTATCTTGTGTTTTTAGCTTTATTTTTGTTGAAATACTAGTTTTGTTTGTAAAAAGCTGAAAAATGGGGCAAACCAATCATTTTTGCCTATTTCTAACTATAATATATGAATTAAAATGTTCTATTCAGCATAAAATGGTATTAATTCTAGAATCTGAACAATAGTCAGCCTGGCTGCACTATTGCTAGACTAAAGTCAAAGAAGGTATATTTTAATAAAGCCCTAATAATGTCATTACTAATATATTCTAATGAGAATACCAATTAACCTAAGCTTTCTTTTGTTTTACCTTCCTGTTTTGTCTCCTGTTTGAGCCCTTTTATCCCTGCTGAGAGCCTCATTAATGACACGCACACAGTCAAGCTCTCTTTTTTTCTCATATCTCACCTTAATTAAAATGTTCTGAGTAACTCACACCCTTCTCTTTTCATCTTTTGTGTTCCATCTTACCTGCTTTGCGGCTGTTTGGCATTTTATAAAACCACCATTTCTTCCTTTCAGAGTCCTTGATCTTTTCACATGGCATTTATTCCCTCCACACTTCATACACATGCATACAGCTGCCTGGTAGAAATGGTATAACCAAACACATGAGATCAGTTCTAGCTAATCTGAGGTAGGATTGGTTTTCTCCTCCATTAGCAATAGCGATTATACATGGCAGCATGCGCCATTCTCTTTTTAAATGTATAGAGAAGCCAGTTGTTGTATAGAAGGTGTAAAATGTCATTTTAATTTGTCTATCTGCAACATCTTGAAATTAAGTCAAGGAATATTTTTGACAATATTTTACCACTGGTGCAAATCCAAATGTTTGTGGATCAA